TTTAGGCCACAGCCTGGTCACTGGTCAGCTTGTAGTGGGCTGCTTTTCACTCAGCCATCGGCCCTGGCCCCTTCCATTTTAGTCAGGAAAGCAGATTGTCATGGTGCAAGATAGGTGTTCCTCAATTGAACAAGCAATGCCTTCTGGCCACTTTTTGTTCATGAGCTTTTCTCTAGTACTATGACCTGGAGAAGTATAATATTATCCCCACCTTACAAATTAGGGGACTGAGGCTTATGGAGCTAACGTAACTGGCTTCCAGTTGCTCAGCTAATAAATAGCAGAGCTGCAATTCAAGGCCAAATTTGGTGTGACATCGAAGCCACTCTCTACCCTATCACACTGCTACCCTTCAAGAGAAAGCAATTCTCTTCATCTGAGGCCATGGTATTAAGGTGGCCTTAATTAATGTGATATTCCCATGCAAATACACTTTTGATACAGCAGTCCCAGGAGCAGACAAAAAGTGTTTTGAAATATGAGCCCTGAAAAATCAGGAGCAGATGTAATGTACATTTCCACAAAATTTCCACTTTCTGTAGCATAAAAAAAAAAAAAAACACACACACAGAAAAACAAAAACTGTCCACCGAGTCGCCTTAGCAGATGCACGGCTCTTTTCTTGTGAGCGGAATGGCGTGTTGGTTAATGGCTCTCATAACAAAATATGTCCTAGGGTCATTATTTATAATAGGCTGCAACAACAAGCAGTAACAAAGCTGGCATGTAGCAATAGGCAGTGTAAAATTTTAATGGGAGGCATTTTCTGGATTTTGATTTTAAATGTCTTATTGTTACAAAATGAAAATAGCTTTCAAGAAAGATAGGCATTGTGTCGGAGGCGAGGAGGTAGAACTCCTCAAGTATGTTTGCTTGAGACACCAGAGGAAAGAAGGCTGGCCAGATCGCTTTTCCCTGACGCTTAAATCACATCATCATCAATAATAACATCAAATTACACACCATCTCAGAACAGCTAACTGCTTAGCACACACATAACATGAGCAGAAAAATATAGGTTAGTATTCCTGTGCCAAGATCAACTTGGAAGAACCTGTTTGACACCTACTATGTACTGGGCATGGTGCTAGGGCCTGTGGAAACAATAGGAATGCATCTGATTTAGCAGCCATGACATCAAACAGCTTGAGATCCAGCATCACTGCTTAGGACAGACCCACGACTCCGCTGGAACTCAGAACTGTCCGCTGTGTTGGGGAGGCAACAGACTGGCAGTCATGGAGGGGCAGGACTTACAGAGAGTGGAGAAGAGTTGGGCAAGCAAGGGCAAAAGCACCACAAAGTTTAGGGCAAGGAATCTGTGTTCATCAGGGTTCTACAGGGAAACAGAACCTATAGACTGCAGAGAGATTTATACAATGAGATGGCATATATGGTACCTGCTCCGTGATTATGGAGGCTGAGAAGTCCCACCATCTGCCATCTTTGAGCAGGAGACCCGGGAAAGCTGGTGATTTGGTTCTAGCCCAAGCCCGAAGGCCTCACGGTGAGGGTGGCCGATGGTGTTAAGTCCCAGTCCTAGTCCAAAAGCCGAAGAACCTGGAGCGCTGGTGTCCAGGGCCAGAAGATGATGTCCCAGTTCAAGAAGAAAAACAGCGAAGCCAGGAGCGGCGGCTCACGCCTGTAATAGCAGCAGCACTTTGGGAAGCCGAGGTGGGCGGATCACGAAGTCAAGATATTGAGATCATCCTGGCCAACATGGTGAAACCCTGTCTTGACTAAAATAACAAAAATTAGCTGGGCATGGTGGCACACATCTGTGGTCCCGACTACTCAGGAGGCTGAGGCAGGAGAATTGCTTGAACTGGGGAGGTGGAGGTTGCAGTGAGCCCAGATCATGCCACTGCACTCCAGTCTGGGTGACAGAGCAAGACTCCATCTCAAAAAAAAAAAAAAAAAAAAGAAAAAAGAAAAAAAGAAAGAAAGAGAAAGAAAGACAGCAAAACTGCCCTTCTCTCTGCTCTTTGTTCTATTCTGGCCCTCAAGGGATGGGATATGCTCACCCACGCTGGTGACTGTGATTTTCTTACTCAGTCCACTGATTCAAATGCTCATCTCTTCCAGAAATGCCTCACAGACACACACAGAAACAATGTTTTGCCAGTTCTCTGGGCATCTCCTAGCCCAGTCAAGTTGACACATAAGATTGACCATCACAGAAACTGTGTAAAAATGATTATTTATTGCACGGCTTCCAAATGGCAGGTTTTGACCCATTTGTGTATTGTGAAATCAATTTAATCGATGTTGAAAAGTGCGATGGGAAAAGATCGAAAACAGAGTGTATTGCACATAGTAAGGGCAAGTATTATTTTATGAAAATTCTAATATAGTTTTATATAGGCAGATACATGTATGCACGGGTCACAATGTGAAATGCATCTCTTACTGCAGGTGACAGTCCAGAAAAGATGATGAAACTCTGATTGAAGAGAAACTGTTGCGAACTCATTATAAAACCTTGGGACCTGTTAATCAAACCCATTGCATGAATCTACTTTTCTTGAAACACAAATCACCCAGTGATACAATCAGGGTTCAGGAGCCGTTTCTCCTGCATGTGCCTCAGAATAAGTGTGCCTGGAGCGTAATAATATTAGCAATGGGCTGGCAGTGGAGAGCTACCATGTCCTAAGTGCTTCACGTGTATTCATTCTTCACAAGGTCCCTTAAGGAGGTACTATTGCTATGCTTATTTTACAGATGGGGACACTGGGCATGGTGTCATGCCAATACCTTCCCCGGGGCTGTGCAGCTAGGAAGGGCAGAAAACAGCTTGGAATTCAGCATGACCCCTTCACGTTTAGCTTATTTCACACTGATTCCTGCTAAGACTGTAAGCTTTTTGAAGGCAAAATATGTCTCATTCCATCTAACATGTTTGTTTATTGTTTGGTATTCATGTTATCTCTTGCTGCATAACAACTACCCATACCTAATGGCATTTAACAACCGTATTTCATTCCCTGGATAAGGAATCTGGATGGGATATGGAGGGGGTGACTAATCTCTTTTCTGCAATGCCTGGGGTCACAGCTAGAAAGGTTCAAGGAGCTGGAGGTAACTTGAAGGCAGACATTGGAGTCATTACATTTGTTCATACATCTGGTCCCTGGGCTGAGACTGTTGACCTCAGTATCTCTCTATGACCTCCCCCTGTGGCTTGGACCTCTCCCAGGCTGAGTTTTGAGTGGGTGTCTCCCAGGAGGAAATATTGGAAGGTAAGCATTCCAAGTGAGCCAGAGGGTGCACGCCTATTATGATCTAGTCCCAGGAGACCACATATCAGCTCTTCCAGCATTCCCCATCGGCAAGCCCAGCCGGGGTGCACAGGGAGGGGACATGGACCCCACCTCCTGATGTTTTAGAACCACTCCGTATGACATTCTTAAGTTTTTATTTTTTAGTTTTCAACTAGGATATGAAAGTTTCCTTGTCAAGACAACCGGATTTCCTCTGATGTGGCAGAGTGAGTGGCTCCAATTCCTTGTGATGCATAGGGCACTTTGTGGTTAATAATCTGCTGTTCATTAGAATGATCTGTCGTCTCTATAATAGTAAATGGACTGGAACCACAGATAATTTACTGCCTTAATTTAGTTGCTAGCATTAGGCTTATTTTAAAGTATTTTCTCTCCATTTGGACTAAATGTCTTTTATCTAAGCTTATCTTCAATGTCAATAAGCTTAGCATTCCTCAACAGCTGGAGGCCCAGATATTATATATCTCCCCTTCTATTAATCTTCTGTAAGTTGATCTTTATAGCCATCTAATCCATTCATCACCTCAAGCTGTCCTTTCCACACTTGCATGGTCTTCCATTTAGCTAAACCAAACTCTATTTCTTCATCAAGACTAAAGTTCTTTGTCATTTTCACAGTTTACAGAGTTCTTTCTTAGAGCTGGTTTGAAGTGTCAGATTGTCCACAAAGAATAAATGGGTCCTCATAACGTTCTTCATTATGTTTGATCTGGACACATTACTAGAGATTTTCGGTAAAAATTATTTCCCAAAAGAATCAGAAGATCTGAGTGTCCCCCAAATATTTCATTCTGCAAGAAGACCTGCAGTTTGACAGTTCTCCCATGGGCAGAACCAGACACCACATTTCATTTGTTCATCTCAATCCACAAAAGCCTTAGATTCAATATTGCATTATGGCTACATTGTGGCTAATTGATACAAAGTACATCAAAAGTTTTTTAAAAAAAAATCGGTATAATCCATATTACTAGGGAGGGAAGGAAAAGAGAGTTACAAATGAGGGAACAAAAGTGGTAGAAAAGGTCAAGGAAAAGGGCAAGGTTGATTCTCTTCAGAACAAGGTCACTGAAATTCAGAACCACAATACAGCAAGTAACTGCACTTCCCATTTAGGGGATGAGAATATACAGCAGAGAATATACAGGTGAAGATACAAAATCAGAGAGTCATCATCGGGGCACTCAAACGCCCCTCACAGAAGCAGGTCTCCTCGCTTCCAGGGAAGGGCTGGCAGGTGAGCAGGTTTGGGTCACCTGGGCTAGCCACTGGGCTGGCTACAGGACATGGAAATCCTGGCCTGGGCCAAACCCTTTGGGAGGACAAACTATTTTCTGTGTGCATATTACATGAAGTGTTGTTTGTACCAGTACCAGGTCAGGCAATGGACAAGACATTACAGGAAACGCTGAGACTTGATAACAATTCCAGCTCTCAGTACATAGTCTAGAGAGGTCGATACAACCCACACAGCAATAAACAGCTCTCATCACAATCAACAGCTCGAATCAGGAATGCAGGGCAGGCCCAGGGTCTCAGACTGGAGAGAACATCCTCTGCCTGAGGTGGTCAGGGACAGATTCACAAGAGGAGATAAGGCATAGGGAGGCGGGAGAGGGAATGTCATGTTCCACTAACTGAGACCAGTTCAACTGGGGTGAGGGGACAGAGAAGGAACCCTTCCCCTCAGCATCCTAAGGATGATTTCCTGGATCCATGGCAGTGGGGAAACTCACAGTGTCTGGAAGTCCCACTGAGGCTGGCAGTATGCATCTGTACCCATTTTCTCTTCTGCACATTCTGCTTCTAGTGCAGCAGAAAGCAGGTATGGGCGCTGTTTGTCTGCTTAAAGTAAGGCTGTAACTCCTTTGGAGCAGTCGGCCCTCTGGGCTTTAGACACTGTGGTCTCCCATGTAGGGGGTACCAGCAGTATGAATGCTCCAAGCACCTTGCCAGCCTTTCTGTATCGGGCACTATACACCTATAAACACCTCTGGCAGCCCCAATACACAGGTTTGATCCACAATCCCACTTTTTCCTAATGAGGTAACTGAAGCACAGAGATGCCAAGTAATTCAGCCAAGGTCACACAGCTGGCAAGAGGTATGGGATTGAAAGCCAGGTGGTGTGAGTCCAGAGCCTGCCTCTTGGCCACTCTGCCTTGCCACCTCTTAACGCTGCCCTCAAAGCCACTTACTAACAGCCAGCCTCGGCTCTGCCACTAGAGGAGTTCAGGGAAACTGACTGTCCAGGGGTCCCTTGCCACAGCCAGAACCTCTTCATCCTCTTTAGATGCTCTTCTAAGGTGTGCCTGAGCATCCCTTTCCATCTCACCTGCGCAAGACTTTAATATAGAATAAAGCTACCGCGATAACTTCCCTCTTTGCTGTGCTCAGGCCTCAGGACTCCAGGCAAACCAATGGCAAATACAGCTTTTCTGGTGGGGGCCAGACCCAGCAGAGCCTTCAGGAGCCGGCCCATAGGACTCCAAGGGGATGCAGGGGACACTTCAGCCCACCTCTGTAGTTTGTAACCTGCACTAGGGTTAAGGCATTTTGTGTGAATTGAATGGAAACCCTTATAATTCAGATCAAAGTTCTTTGCATGCGTTTTTCTGAAAGGATAGGCTTCAATCAAAATTTTCAAGAGGGCAGGGACAGAGTAATGAGTGTTGGGCCCATGATGGATCACATTCTCTAGTTGTGCAGTCCCTAGGTGACTGCAGGCCAGCAACAGGTTTGCAGGACTTTTGTCCACAAGTAGCTTTGGACAAAATTCAGGCCCAACGAAAGTTAAGCAGCACAGTCAAAGTGCTAAACACGGACCTGGAAAATGGCTGTTCAATGAATAGCTATCAGCTGCTCAGTGATAATCAGAGGGCATCGGGAATTATTCTTAATTTTGTAAAGTGGCATTATAATATTGTAATTATGTTTTTTTAAAGTCCTTAGCCTCTTGGATGGGGAAGGGAAGGAGTAAGATGAAAGAACGGAAAATATTGACAATCTTTGAAGCTCAGCAATTGTGCATTCATTGCACTATTCTACCTTTAATTTTTTAAATTCCATAATAAGAAGTTTTTAAAATAAAAATAAATCAAAGCTACTCTTTATACCAAGATGCAAATGTCTGAGTCAAGCACATGACTGGGAAGCTTACTTCTCCCAGAAAAAAAAAAAAAAAAAAGCCTAAGGGTCCCCTCACAGGCCCAGGCAGGATGGCATGTGCTTGTCCCATTCCCGGCCTCGACCCATCCCCACGGGGGCATCGGCCCAGGACAGAACAGGTAGCATCTAGGTCCTCCTCTTAAAGGGCTCAGACCCGGCAATCTCCTCTCAGCCTGCCACTCGGTAGCCCTGCGTCCTCGGGCATTTCACCTCCCAGGTCTCAGTTTCGCTGCTCATAAAATGGTTGGACCATCTGGAGGCGAGGTGTGCGGGTGCGTGGAAGGAGGAAGGTGAGGATGCTTCCCACGGGTGGCCAGGTGAAGCCGGGAGTCGAGCATTTTCCTAAGATTGCTCGCTGCCGCGGGCGTGGGTGGTGAGCATCACGATTAAGAATGAACACACACACGCACACATACACCTCCTTCCTCCTTCCCTTCCTCTTCCTCTCACCCCTCCCCCCGGGGGGCGGTACCCTGGTCTCGCGGGGGAGGTTTTGGGGCGGAGGACCGGGGAGGACTGCGCCCAGGAGGGTGGCTGGCCGCAGGAGGAGGGCTTGGGTTCGGGCCGCTGCAGCTGGGTGGCCGGCGCCGCGGCGGCCCCTCCCCCGCTTTCCCTGGCCGCCGCCCCCTCCTCCCTCCGTCCTCCTCCTTCTCTCCCTCCTCCCTGTCCCCCACCCTCCTCCCGGGCCCCGGCAGCTGCGGCTCGGGGAGCAGCCGGCGGCGCCGCGACCGCGCAGCCTTTGTCTCAGGCCGCCGGGCGCGCGGGGCCCAGCGCAGCCGTAAGTGACCGGTGGCCGGGCCGCGGGGGTCTCGGCGGGGAGCGGGCCGGGGGTCGCGGGCACTCCCTGCAGTGGGGGCCGGGCCGGCAAGATCCTCCCGCCGCTCGCCTCCCGGGATGCTCGGGCGGTGCCGGCGCGCGGGGGCGCGAGGGAAGCGGAGCGGGGCCACAGCCGAGGAGCGCGCGGGGCGCAGAGAGGGGCGCGGGGCCCGCCGGGCCGCGGGGCCGGGGTAGGGGGTGCGGGCTCGCGGGGTGCCGCAGCCTGGCGCCCACAGACGTGCGGCTTGGGTGCAAATCCTGTTTCTCTGGGCAGAGGCCACGCGGGGACGGAGGAGGCAGAGAGAACGGGCAGTGATGGAGAAACGGGAGAGGAGCCGGCCAAGCGCCACCGTCACCACCATCACCAACCACCACCACCATCACTGACCGTCGCCCATCCCAGTTCCCCTGCCTCACCTCCCATCTCATATCCCTGTGCAGTGCCAACTTTATCAGATCATCTCCTTTTCACTGGGTACGACTTTGGAAAAGCGACAGAGTGCGCCAAATTAGGAATAAGTACATCCGCTGTGGGACATTTATCTTCCCGTTTCCATTTCGCCACCTCAATTTTCCCATCAGGAAAGGGGGCACAGCGGCACTTCATTTCTCCTAATCACACTGAGATGGCTGGGTTGCTTCCAGTTTGTCCAGTCCTGTACTGGACGGTTATATATGCTTGGTGATGATGATGATAAAATAATATCTTCATTAAGTTGGACAATTGGGAGTTTTCAAACTTACTCTCCTTTGACTTCTGAGTGTCGAAATGCCAGTAGCAAATAGAAACGTAAGGAAAGTGAAAGGTTCACTAACACAATACCAAGAATAGATGCAAAACAGGTACTTTTGTAGGGACATCACCCAAGACAGCTGCAGGCAATGCTTCTCATCTGCAGTGTGGAAAGCATCCCCTCAGTGCCAAGTGGCTTTGGGAGCGCCTCAATCTGGATGTACAGTTTCCCTTGGGGTTTTCACCCTACCTAAGGAATGCTTTCATTGCTGTTTTTTAAAATTGGCTTTCACCAGGCCCCGAGGACGGCTGACCAGTCAGAACAAATACAGCAACAGAGCCCCGGGGCTGTTGGTAAGCCCAGCACCAGAAGGCAGGGAACCTTCTTAGAAGTAAAACTTCCAAAAAACAAGCTCTTAAACCCTCCGCCTTTTCCTCCGTTGGTTAGAAAACGAATCTTGAACTTCTGTGTTTTATGTTCTAGTCTAATAAAAGACAGCTAGACAAGCCTACGTTTCTTGACAAGCTGGGAAAATCTTCCCGAAGTCAGGGAGCAGGGCTCCTTTTTTTTATTTTTTTCTTTTTCTGAGTTGGAGATAGCCTCTCACTCTGCCTCCCAGGCTGGAGTGCAGCGGCGTGATCTCTTATCACCGCAACTTCCACCTCCCAGGTTACAGCGATTCTCCTGCCTCAGCCTCCTGAGTAGCTGGGATAACCCGCGTGGGCCACCATGCCTAGAAAATTTTTGTATTTTTAGTAGAGACGGGGTTTTACCATGATGGCCAGGATGGTCTTGAACTCCTGACCTCGGATGATCCACTTGCCCCAGCCTCCCAAAGTGCACAGGCGTGAGCCACCACGCCTGACCGTGGCTCCTTTTTAATAAGGCTATGGAGTCACCCACCTGGTGTTTTTTGCCCTGTGTCCTGTTTTTACAATTGAAGAAGGAAAGTGATCATATTAAAAATAATGTGAACCCAGCTGAGCTGCAATTGTCATTACCATAGTTTAAGACTTCTCAAATGTCGAAGTATAATTATACGTCATTAACTCAGACTTCTCTAATTTGTGAAGTAGAGTTTTAAAATAGGGTAAATAATTTTGTGGAGAATGACGCTGAAATCATTCTGAGGACCTGAAGTTTAAGTAAGGCACAGTAAGTCTAAAACAATGATATTTTCAAAACAAAGTCTTAAAGAATTACTTTGCTATGTTTTGAATTACGGATCTTTGGGAAATAATTAGCATCTCAAGGACACTTCAGGCCAGTGATAGTGTTTTAGTCTTTGCGGTCTGCTATCACAAAATGCCTCAGACTGGGTGATTTCCAAACAAGAGAAAGGTATTGCTCACAGTTCTAGAGTCTGCCAAATCCAGGGTCCAGGTGCTGTGGCTTCTGGGTGCTGTGGCTTCAGTGTCTGGTGAAGGCCAGCTCTCTGCTTCATACATGGTGCCTTCTATGTATTCTCACAAGGTACATGGGGCACACAGGCTCCCTGGGGCCTCTTTTATAAGGGCACTAATTTCATTCATGACAGTGGGCATTTGGGAGCTAATCTCCTAAAGTCCCACCTCTTGATACAGTCGCATTGGGGATTAGGTTTCAGCATATGAATCTGTGAGATTACCAACATTCAGACTGAGTTCTAATGTTATATCCAACACACATTGTTTTAGTCCATACAAATTGTTATAGCCTATACTAATTCTATGTTAATTTAAAAACCATTCATTTGCTTTTATTGAGATACGATTTACATACATAAAATGCACTACTCTTCAGTGGACAGCTTGATGAATTTTTGCCTATGTATCCTCTGGTGAAACCTCTATCAGCAGTAAGTTACAGACTATTTTCCATAGGTCTAGGGGATCCCCTCATGCCTTTTCTCATCAGTACCTCTCAACAGAGCCCCTATCCCCTCAGTGGAGCCACTACTAGACTTCTATCAACATAGAAAAATGATTTCTTTTAAAATAATTTCTAGGTAATTTCTTTTACATTTTACTCTGTTAAATGCAATTGGCCTATTCCTTAAATGAAATTGGCCTGTTCCATTTATAACCAAATCCAGGGCTGAGCCCAGTGCTATGTAGACACGAGACCATATAGATATGAGTCATGGCGTTATTGGCACATAAGGCAAAAAAAAATTCAACAAGCAGAGGCAATACCCTATATGCAGATACCGAGGGTTAGGGGAACCCCTGAGAATCTGGGTCTAACCCAGTTTTGTTTTGTTTGTGGGGAAAAGGGAAGGCTTTTTGAAGGATGTGAATTTTAAGTTGAAAATGGAAAATTGAGTAGAAGTGATCCAGCTAAAACGTGGTAGGGGGAAAACGAAAGTCTACGCTAGGTGGAAGAAACATCTTGAATTCCAGCCTCAGAAATAAGAGAGCACTGAATGTTTGAAGAACAAAACTCAGTTGAAGATGATTGGAGTATAGGGCTGTGGGAGAAACGTGAAAATAATGCTGAAGAGGCCATAGGGACCCTTTCAGAATGACACGAAGGCCCTGTTGAGGGGTGGGGCTTGGCTCTGAGAACTAGGAGAGTTCTAGAACCGGCTTGTGTGGTAAGCATGGCAGGAGGAGACTTGAGGATTCAGCCAGCGGCTGTGGGGTTGGGAGATTACAGGAGGCACAGGTGGGAGGCCAGGTGGGCATTCAGGTGAGAGACAGTGGTGACCTGGACTAGGCAGTGGCAACAGGAATGGGGAGACATGAGTGAAATTAAAAGAGAATTACGGGGTAAAATGAACACAAGTTGATGTTTGCCAGGTGAAAATTCAAGGAAAGCCCTTAGGTTTCTTGGGTCTTACAAAATGGATGGATAATGGTACCCTTGAAAGATGAGGGAAGAATCTTGTGTATATAATCTCCTTCCTTGGTATGTTTCTTTCTGTGTGTACTTAGTTTCACTTGCAAGTTAGTGTGTGATGCATTCAGGTAGAAATATCTGCTGGGGAGTTGTAACCCACACTGAGCATGCTCCATAGGCCAGGCATGCTCTGTCACTTGGGAGGCAGTCACAAGCAAGATGATGAAAACCCTGCCCTTTTGAAACACAGGTGAGAGCTGCAGTCTGAGAATCCACCAGGTTTAAGGGGTGACAGAAGGCTTCAGAGTGAATGAGATGGCTCAGTCAGATTTCAGTGAAAGGGCGGTAGCCCAGGATAAAACCCCAAGGAACGCTAAGAGACTAAGAAGGAACAGAGGAGAGGAGATGGGAAGGAAAGCAAGAGAAGCCGGGCTTCGCAGGTCTAAGGATTGATCCCTAGTGTCATACACAACTGCGAAGTTAAGGGAGATGAGGACTAGAGATGGTCTGTTGCAACAGTTCTCAAAGTGGGGTCCCAGGACCAGCAGTGGCACTGGGAGCTTGTTACGAATGCGGATTCTTAAGATCCACTCCAAACCTGGTGATTTGGAAGCTCTGAGGGAAGGGCCCAGCAATCTGTGTTTTCACAGGGTTTCCAGGTGATCCTGATGCGTGCTAATGTTTGAGCACCACAGCTTTACTGTGTTAATTGATAAGTCATCAGTGATGTGGAAACTTGGTGAAAGTAACTTCATAAAATTTACAGGCTGCTTGGGCAAATTTTAAAAATGTTTCAACAGTTAATGTTTTATTGTATTTGTTAAGAACTTGCAAATGGTTTATTATGTTTTGCATGTTTGGTTTTTTTTCTTTGGTTACCCGTTGATATTTGATCCATATTTTTTTTCCATCTGTTCTGATTTTTGAAGTTTCATTCCTATCTCCTTTGAAACACATCACTTTACAGAGTCTCAGTATGTTAGGGCACCTGCATCATTGATATTGGTTCACTGCCCAAAACAGAGTGCAATCATGAAGTTAAGTGCGTCTTAACTCTGAATGGCAACCTGAGAAAACACCTAGATTGTTAAATTAGCTCTTCCAAAAAGTTCCAAGACCCTATTAGGGATACAGTTCTAATTATCTGAACTTGTTACCCATGTGAAGTAATTGGAAGTGTGCCCTTTTCATCTCAAATGCTCCAACAACATAACCGTAATTATTGTACCTCTAATGCACTTAGAAAGGAAAGAACTCTTACTACCTAGGCCTTTTCCTGGTCTTTTGTTGCAAGCCTCCCAGGTACTTTATTGTGTTTGACAGGAAGAATTCGAGCATACTGTTTTGTTTTGCTGTCATCAGGGAAAACCTATGGTAAATGAGAAGACAGTGATGCAGATACTACCCTTATAGCTATCCCTGTTTACTGAAAACTTTGCTTTTTATATGAATAAAAACTGATAAGTAGTTCCAATACTTTGTACAGTAACAAGCACAAAGAAGGACCACAAATGTTGAGTGAATGGATGGATGGATGAGTGGGTGGATAGATGAAAGAATCAGTGGGTGAATAGGAAGATAAATGGATATATATAGATACACATGTAGAGGGCAGACAAAAGAATGGATATATGGATGGATGGCTGGGTGGATAGATCAATAAATGGGTGGGTGGATGGATGGAAGGGTAAATGGATGCATCACTGGATAGATGGATGGGTGATGGATGTGCAAATAGATGGGGAGGTGGAAGAGTGAATGGATAAAAGATGGTATGAGAAACTTCTACCTAAAGAGGCAAAAGCAGTCTTTTTTTAAAAAAAATTATTCTACCTGAGGAAGGTACAGTACAGTGAGCTGAACCGAGCTGAAGACTTGAATGGCTTAGTGACATTGTCCCTTATTCTTTTTTTTTTTTTTTTGTGTGTGTGTGTGTGTTATGCATTTTTTGTTGTCTTAAACATCTTTTTATATATTTATTGTATACTTGTGCTTTTTCCTTATGAATTGCTTGTATAGCATTCTTTTTTTTTTTACACGTATGAACCCCAAAAATCTGAGACAGGTCTTAGATTTTTTAGGGCATTTATTTTGCCAAGTTTGAGGATCCCCGCACCCGTGATGTATCCTCATGAGGTCCTGCATTGTCCCTTATTCTAATGTGATCTTGTTCAAATTCTCTAACACCTCTGAGCCCCTTATGTGAAAGGATAGTATCACCCACCCAACCTGCTGCCAGGTTTGCGGTCAGGACCAAATTGTATAATGGCCGTGAATGTGCTGTTAAAATTGTAAAGTGCTATAGGAATGTAAATACTTCTTGTTATACGTGGTTAGATACTGGACTGTCGTGTGGGGTTGCTTCAAATATGCTAGGACTGCACTTCTGCTCTGCTTTGGGGATGGCTCATTCATTCGTGCACACACATTTGTCATTGGTAAGCTTATGTATCCAAGAGAGGGGTGCA